CCTTCCGCCTCAGCCTTCTGAGTAGCCGGAACTACAGGCGTGCGCTACCACGCCCGGCTGATTTTTTGATTTATTGTAGAGATGAGGTCTTGCCAAGTTACCCAGGCAGGTCTCGAACCTGCGGGCTCAGGCAATCCACTCACCTTGGCTTCCCAAAGCGCAGGATTACAGGCTGAGCCTCCGAGCCCTGCTATGCGGCTGTTTCAATTCCCAGATTGAGGGGGGCTGAGTGGGAGAAGGCACTCTGTAGGGTGGAACCTTCACTTCTGGAGCTGGGCTGCCTTGGAAGCAGCCAGGCCCTTTCCCTGTCTCACCTGCTCCCACAGAGCCCAAGATTCCCAGGGCAGGGAGCTCCTGGCAGGATCCCTGCTGGCTGGCCAAGGTGGGGCCTCCCCCCTGACAGCCCTTCCCTCCAGCCCCCTAACTGCTTCCTGGCGATGCCGGGCTCCTTAAGCACTTGTGAGAGAGATGCGGGCGTTCTGATGTGGTCCAGGCTGGCGCTGGCACTCAGAGCCACAGCAGGACACGTGCCTGACTGTTTTCTCCTCTGTTACGTCAAGACCACAGCCCGAGAAGAGGCGGACCTGCGGTTCTGCCAGCTGACCAGGGAGTACCAGGCCCTGCAGAGAGCCTACGCCCTGCTGCAGGAGCAGGTGGGGGGCACGCTGGACGCAGAGCGGGAGGCCCGGGTGAGTGCGGCCGGCCCCAGGGCTGGTGGGGCTGGCGGAAGGCTGGGTGGCGCGGCCCTCTGGAGAGCTGCGAGTCTGTCCGGACCCAGCCCTGGGCACTGGGAGGGGGTCCTGCGAGGCGAGGGGAGCTCATTGCGCAGTCCCCACTGGGGCGAGGCTCCCGAACTCTCTGTCCATCCTCCGTGGGACAGTGGGAACCCTGGCGCTCCAGCGGAAAGGACGCTGCCGTCTACCACGTGTCATCTGTGCCATCCTTCTGCCACAGAGCACCCGCGGCTCCCAGAATTTCAGCCCAAGCGACAAAGCCACGACTTGGCTGGCCTCGTCGGCCTAGACTCTCTTCCCTCCAGAGTCGAGAACCCCAGGACATCCCATGGGCCCTTGCAGGGACCCTGAGGGGGCGTCCCGGCTGGCAAAGCACCCTGGCCCTGCTGAGCACCGCTGTTCCGGGCTTGCCGTCCCTTGCGCGGGTCTGAGCTCTGCCTTCCGGAAACTGCCACCCGCCGCCTCTTTTCCCGACCCCGGGAGGACGCGGGCCGCTTGCCCTCCCTCCTGGGAGCACGCGGGACTCTCAGAGAGCACGGCTCCGGGGCCAGGGCTCCCCGCGCCCCATTCTCCTTTCATTTCCACGCTGGCCCCTTGAGGTGGGAGGAGTCAAAACCCCACCTTCTGAATGAGGAAGGCGAGTCTCAGAGAAACCAGGCGAGCCAGGGTTCTCTGACACAGGGTCTGGGCTGTTTTCCAGAGCTCAGTTGGGGTATCCCACCGGGGAATGGATCTGAGTGGTCTTCAGGAGATGGGCTAGACTTGGGTGTTGGCTGGCAGACCCCTTGCGGGTGGCGGCTGCAGGAGAGAGCGGCCCCTCCAGCACGAGGCTTGTCCAGGGGCGGCAGCGGCCCTGTGGGGGAGGTGGGAGCCGGCCGTGACAGGGACAAGGCTGGTGGAGAGGGAGCTTCTTGGACCTTCGAGGTCAGGGGAGGGAAACTGCTGGGCTTTGTGTGGGCTGAATAATTTTTTTCCAAATCTCCTCTACTTGCCAACATTTAAAAGACAAGAGATTTCAGACCAACCCAGGTCCCAACTTCTCTCGAAAGGCCGGAACCTCTGGCGGCCCCAGACCGCCCGTTCCATGTGGCAGCCATTGGCTATGGCGAGTGGCAGTGTCTCCCTGAGGTGGGACATGTGCCTCCAGTTGGCTGCAGGCCCCACCACTCCCTATTACCCCACACCCACTTGGCTCTTCTTGTTTGCATGACTTGCTGGGTGCTTGATTTCCAGCCCTTGCTCTCGGCTCTGGGCGGCAAAGGGCCCAGGCAGGGAGCTAAGCACAGATGCAAATGCTCGGGCTGAATGAGCAGACACTGAACTCTTTGGTCAGGAGGCACGTTAGGTTGGGAACCCGATATGTCTTCCTTCCTTCCCCTGGAAGGAACTGGTGACTTCTCCAGGCGTCATTTTCCGTGTCTGTGACATGGAGGGCATTCAAACCGGCAAACACTCAAGGCCTCTCAGGCCCAAACGGTCCTACGCTGGCAGCTGAGTGAGGAACCTCTGCGCCATGAGGCAGGCCCAGGCGGGCCGTGCGCTCCGGAAACGAGCCTGTTCCCACGCTTTGCCCCCGAGCACCCTGGGCCTGGCTGGGGCCGCGGCCCGAGCCTTCCCCCGGTCTCCCGGGGGAGGTAACCTGCTGGTGTCCTGGTCTTTTTCCCTGCAGACTCGGGAGCAGCTGCAGGCTGACCTGCTGAGGTGTCAGGCCAAAATCGAAGACTTGGAGAAGCTGTTGGTGGAAAAGGGCCAGGTGAGCCGGAGCGGCGCGGGTGCCGAGAAGCTTGCCTTCCGGTCCCCGTGGCGGCTGGCGTTCCCGAGCCTCACCTGTGGGCCTCGGGGGCTGTTCTGTGGAAATATGCCAAGAGTGCCAGGGGCCTTAGAGAAGAAACACTAGCAGACCCGGGCGGGAATGTGCTTTCCGTGGGTCCTGTTTGCCGAGACAAAAAATCAAATCAAGGTATGAAGTTCCAACCGGATTTTTGTCTGTTTGCCAAATGCACAAAAATAGGAGAGAGCTCCAAAAGCCAAGCCTTTTTGACTTGAATCTGAACAGCCACAGCCTGTCGCAGTTTTAGTCGTGAGAAGGAACCCAAGCCTGGGATGGGTTCCGAGCCACTGCTGAGCCCGGTTCCAGGCCGTGGCTGTGTCGTGGAAGAGGCCGGGTGTTTGCACAGTCACCTCTGCGTGCCCGTTCTCGGCATGACATCAGGCCAGGCCTGTGACCGGGAGACGCAACCGAGGGGCAGAGCCAGGGCCTCAACCCGGCCCCTGGGAGGGGAGGCCCGGAGGGGCTCCCGATGGAACTCCAGCCTCAAGGTGGCACGGTCGGGCTGTTGGGTCCGAGGCTCTGCTGGAGGGGGCAGTCACAGCCCGAATGTCGCAGTGGCTGTTTCCTGCCCACACTCCGTGGCTCCTAGAGGTGGAGGGTGGTCTGCTCCACCGGGTTTCTCCAGGATCCAGGGACAGAGACACTGCCATCTTGCGGCTGCCCTGTCTAGGACTTGCCCTCTGCTGGGCTGTTTGCTGCCTCGGCAGAATTCACCGGCCCACACCAGTCACATGGTCCACTTGACTTCATGGGTGCCCAGGAGGGTGAGGGCAGCAGATGGAGCACCTGGTGGCACCCACCCCCGCTTCCAGTGGGGCCCCAGAGGGCCGAGGAGGCCAGAGAGGCCTTCCCAGGTCCCAGGCCTGGCAGGACACGGGGTTGGAGGAGGCGGGGTGAAGAGGAGGGTTGGCAGAGGTTCCGGGTAGGCTAACGGGAGAAGTCAGGAGGAGCACCGCCAGCCAGATGGCTTGGAACCCTTTCTGACGGATCCCAGGAGAGTGGTCAGGGCTCAGTCTGTGGCTGAGGTTTCCATGGAAGCAGACAGCCAGAGGTCACATCTCATGCCTGACACAGCAGGTCACCACAGCGGCCTTCACGGGGGCGCTGGGTTGGGGAGCGTGAGCACCAGCCCTTGGCGGTGGCCTCTGTAGACGGTGGTCGGCATTCTCTGCAGGGCGGGACGGTGGCACCGAGCACACAGGATGGAGCCCGCCTGCGTTCTGACAGTGGCTGTGCCCCTTACTTGTGTGACCTGGGCAAGTTGCATGAGCTCTTTGGGCTTAGTTTCCTCGTCTTTAAAATGGGGCCGAGAAGGGTACCTGACGCATTAGAGAAAGGGACGTAAGATTTGGAAGGAGCCAGGGCAGAGAGCCAGGTGGGAGACAAGCAGGCTCGTTTGAGTCTCCCGTCCCGACTTGCCATTGACCTCAGTATCCTTCCAAGCTGAGCTTGCACACCGTAGCTTGCCTGATCACAGTCTGTGCCTAACTTACTGTCCCCCGGGGGAAGAGGCCCTCTGTCTCTGGGCCTGCTCTGCCCTCAGTGCTCGCTAGAGGGCGGGACAGGTCTGGGGCAAATCATGGGGCCACTTGTTCGGCGAGCACGTACCAGAGCCCTTGCCTGCGCCCGGCTCCGGGCGGGTGCACGGGACGGTGGGTCAGTTCGCATTTGCCATGTAACAAACCATCCCACACTTAATTGTTTAAAACAGAAACTTGTATCTGCCTGCAGCTCTGTGGATTGGTGGTGTGGGCTTGGCTCAGCTGGGGCTTGGAGGCGCTGCCGGTCACGCCCGGGGTCATCCTGGAGGACGCAGCCTCAGGCGGACCGACCGGCGCTGGCTGGTGTGAAAGGGCCTCGCTCGCCCGTCTGGGCGTTGGCGCCAGCTCCCAGCCAGGTCTCACCCTCAGAGAGGCTCGCCTGGCTGCGCAGCCTGGTGGCCTGGCGGGAGGGAAAAAGACCAGGGCCCACGGCACAATCCCTTTCCAGCTTCTGCTCACGCCACGCTTGCCGGCATCCGAGTAGCCAGAGCATGTCATGGCCTAGCTCGGCTCCCGGGCTGGAGAGATGACCCAGCATCCGCTGGGAGGAGCTGCAGGTCTCATTGCGAAGGGGTGTGTGCACAGAGGAGGGAGGGGGTGGCAGCCGTCTTCGTGAACTGTGCGCCCAGATGAGAAAGTGACGGCACACAGCTGTGTCTCACAGGGGCTTGCAGCCCGGCCAGGCCCACCTGTGGGTCAGATCTGTGACCTCGCAGGTGGCAGACATTGGGTGGAAGAAAGCCCAGGAGGTAGCCCGTGCCTTTTCTGCACGTTCCATGGGAGTGGAATCAGACGCCAGGTTAGGATCTCAGCTTTTAAGCCTGTAATGCCAGGACTGGGAGAGCCTGGCCTGGCCCCCGGGAGAGGCCTCTGCCAGTCCCAGCTCTGCGGCTGGGCACCGAGGCCGTGGGAGAAGGCTTCTTCTCAGGCCTTTGTCCTCCCCTTCTGGTATCCGCTGAGCACCCGTGGGGTGCTGCAGTGATGGACGGACTGGGTGCTGTGTATTCCCAGGACCCTCACGGGTGGACTTAGACCAGGCAGACGCGTGGGGAGCATCGCAGCTGGAGGGACTAGAACGAATGAGAGTGTGGTGTCACGCTGCCTGGTTCGTGGGGCGTGGTCTTCAGAGTGCATCGAGGGCCCGCTGGCGCCGACCCAGGCGTGCGTGAGCGGTGTTCCTGTGAGTGATGCTTGCAGAGGGACGTCACTGTGCTTTGGGGGCCACCCACGAAGTGGAAAGGGGCGGCCTGCAGCCTGCCCCATAAACCTCTCTTTTGGGATTGGGACGAGGGCGTGTCTCTGCCGTCCTCCCTGGGACCTTTCCCTAGAAAGGGACCCCTCTCACCAAAAATGTACTTGACCGTCTGCCTGCTCCAATGAGCGTGACCCTATTTAGTGCTTTTCCTTAGGATTCCAAGTGGGTTGAAGAGAAGCAGCTGCTCATCAGAACAAACCAGGACTTGCTGGAAAAGGTACGTGACTGTTGCAGAGAAGCTCAGTGCTCCGGGTCAGCCAGGGCCTCGGAGGTGCGCCCGGCCACGGCTCTTCCCTGGCACCGTAGTGCCGTCGGCCAGGGGCCAGGGGCCAGGGCCTGGGGCTCTCGTGCAGTGAGTGTCTTCCTTACGTGGAGGCAGCGGCTGGGTCCCGGTTCCTCCTCTGGGCCTAGGGCTGCAGAGCTAGTTGAGACTGTCCTTCTGATCGCCCTACAGAAGGGGCGCAGGCTGTCCTGTCCTCTCGATGTCGGGCCAGGCCACCTCTGCCGTTGCTTTGGGGTCCAGGGCCCTTCCACCTCTGGCCCTGGGGACACTTGAGGCACTGTCAGGGGGCGGGCGCCAGGCCAGCTTAGCCCAGTTCAGCTGACCCCTGCTGGGAGCTGGGGCCTCTGTCCTTCTCTCTCTGGGCGTGGAACTTTCCAGAGCTCTCCCAGGGAGTCTGCTGGGGAAGTGCTTGCTTTGGGGTTGAGACCACAGCTTCTTCTCCTTATTCGTGTACAATTCAGTTCTTCTTTTAGCAAATTTAGAGAATTGTGCAGCCATCAGCACAGGGCAGCGTTAGAATGTTTTCCACCCCCGTAAAGACCCCTCCTGCCCGTTTGCATCACACCCCACCCCTCACCACCCAAGCCTGCGACCTCCTGGCTGCTTTGTGTCTATAGATCTGCCCTTTCTGGACGTCGCATGGCAGTGGAATCGGACCTTGGCTAGGCCTCATCCTTTCCACGTCCTAGAAGGCTGGCACTGGGCGAGCCCTGCCTGGCCCTTGGGTGGGGCTGCAGCCTGGCCCCCACTCTGCGGCTGACCAGCGTGTGGCCCGTTTGCTTCTCTGAATTTCTCGGTGGCATTTGGGGCAGGGCCAGTCGTCACCTTGTGAACCAGTCTTGTGCCCTGGGAGAGTGTGAGCATCGCTTGGGCTTGCTGTCTAAATTCCAGGAGCTACAGAAAACGCTCACCCTCTCGCCCTGTTTCCGTATGTCCTGTGGGGGTGACAGAGACCCTCTCTGGTGCTCTGCGATGGTGTTCAGGGAAGGCTGTGATGACTTACCCTAAGCCCTCACTTCCATCTGTTTTCCTCATGACCCCTCACTGCCACCATGGGTGCTGCTGTTTCCCGCCTTGGACAGAAACTGAGGCCCGGAGCCGCTGGGAGGCTCGTCTAGTGTCTCCTGGCTGGGTCTGAGACTGGAGCAGTCTCGCTGCCCAGGCCGGTCTGTGCTCCCGGGGAGCTGCGGCCCTCAAGGCTCCCATGCCAGATTTGGGGGAGAAGCCAGAGAAACAGTCTCCCTGTTGCATGCAGTCTGCTGGGCCTCAGGCCAGTGCGGGGGCCTGATTCCGGGGCGTGGGGGGACGCGAGTTGGGAAGACCCAGACAGGCTCTGGGTGCTGCACTCTTGCTTCCGCCCCGTTTGACCTCACGGGGAAAAGCTCCGTGCCTCAGTTTCCCCTTCATTCACTCAGCAAACATGTAAGGAGCCCCGGCTTCACTGGGCCAGGCCTGGGGCCGTTGGGGTAACCGGGCCCAGACTCTGTCTGCCTCATTCCAGCCTGATTCCTCAGCAGGGCCTGACTCTACCCTTGCCCTTGACACAGATCCCACCCTCTCCTGCTTCCTCCCCCGTGGCTTGTCCACTGCCTCAGACCACCCACAGGTCAGAGAGGGCGGCCCTCATTAATCCGCAGGTGTCTCTGCCCTAGATTTACAGACTGGAGATGGAAGAGAACCAGCTGAAGAATGAAATGCAAGACGCCAAGGACCAGAACGAGCTGTTAGAATTCAGAGTGCTAGAACTCGAAGTAAGAGACTCTATCTGTTGTAAGCTCTCAAACGGAGCAGACATTCTCTTTGACCCCAAACTGAAATTCGTGTAACGCTCCAGATGATCTCAAGCATGTGTAAAGGGGACATGGGATCGTTTCTTCCTTCCTTCCTTCCTTCCTTTCTTCCTTCCTTTCTTTTTTTAAATCTGTACGTTCAGAATAATTTCACTGCCTTAATGTGTTCTGGAGAGAATGCTCACCGAAGTCTATGGACATGTACCAGAGCTAATATATTTATTGCCTACGGCTTGTTTTGCACTTAATAAAATAATTTGTTTTTGCAATATTTTGCCTTTTTTATTTGTGTTTCATTTCCATAACGACTTCTTTCCTGCATGCCTGGTCACCGGGTCCGCATTCTGCAAACCCAGACGGAAGCACTGTTGCAGTTAATAACACACCTTTTTAAGTGATCGTGCATGCAGCAAATCTCACCTTTTGAAATAGCAAAGCCTGACCTGGCCAGCAATTGACTCTGTCGTGTGTTTAATGCCCGTTTGAGCCCATTTTCTGTTTGCTGAGGTGAACACAAGGTAAGTAAAGGCAGGGGAGAAGGACATCTCTGCATCAGCTTTTCAGAAAACGAGTCATGTCGCTCGAACTCTTTTATCTAGTAGACCCAGACCCGGGCATCGCAGCAATATTGGACTAAAGAAATTGCTATTTGTAACTCACAGTGCAACTCAAAACTGCCGGAGGGCAGTCGATTGCTGTTCACGTGTAGAAGCCCCGTTCCTTTGGGAACTTTCCCAGCGCCTGGGTGGGATTCAGTGAAGGAATCTTGCTGTTGTCACGCTTCCGACTGAAACCTTGCCTCGGGTGTGTTCGATTGCCTGGCTCTCACGGCTCTTATGACCCTTTTTCGTTTGTTCGTTTCTGTTTAAACACCATCGACATTCTCAACATCACTTCCATCTGTGATGAGTTTCTCGGCACTTGTGGTGACACAGCCCTGCTCTCTCCACTGCCACCTCTGCATGCGTGAGACCCTTCCGAGCGAGCCCCTCCGCAGTGTCTGTGGCTTCCCCGACTTTGTCCCCCGCCCCAGCTTGAGTCACGGTTCTGTCTGCATCAGGACTGACCGCCTGCACCTCGTCGTGCACCTTGTCGTGCTGGCCGCGATGGTGGCCCGAGCGCCTCTCGGCACTCGGTGCTGCGATGTGGCTCGGGGCTGGCCTGAGCCTTGAGCATGCCTCCAGCATTTTATGTGTGCGACAGGCTTGGAAATGATGTGGGGTCCTTGTTAATACTTCTGCCGCTGTTAGAAGACCTTTCGCAAGTCCTTGCTATGAGGCTCCCTCGTGAGAGTTTCATAGGCACTGCCCGGTTCACTAGAATTTTCCCTGCTGGTCTCCGCTGTCCCACAGACACCAGCCTTTTAAATAAATTTGCGGGTAGAGAGACATCTGTGGAACCGCACTGAGAAATTTTGTTCTTCCTTGGCTAACCAAGGAAATAAGGTTTTCTCTCCAGAGTGTTTCAAACCCAGATTAGCCAGGCGGGGGCTTCAGGGAAATAAGCAGAATTAGTGGCCGTACCCTTTCTCTGCCCTCAAGCCTCATCCGAGGGGCCCTCCGTAAGCCCTGTCATCTAGATCCATGCTCATCTCAGCTACATTCCTTACTTGAACGATTAAACCCATCGGTTCTGTAGCTAGGTTCTTCCGGAGTGGTCCAGAGTGTGCTACTTTTGTCTTACGCTAACTTCGATCAAACAAAAGCCATTTGACCCAAAGGTGTCATTTGCAAAGGTCTTCTCTGCCGCCTCACCGTGACGCACCTGTCTGTTGCTAAAGGTTTAATGTCAGCTCTCTGCAGGAAACACGCTTGAGACCAGAGAAATGTTCGGCCACTGTGCTTTAGCCCTGTGAGTAATTAGGCTTCTCCTGTCCCTTTTAGAAAACATGTCCCTTCCTGGGAGATGACTAAGTCCCTCTTCTGGGAAAAATGCTTGTTTTTCCTTCCGTAGTCGTTGAGCTTTGACTATACGTGTAAGCCGGGGGTAGAATGGTCACTGGCTGTGTTAGTGTGGTTCCAAAAAAAACTGTGAATGGCGTTGGCAGATTTAGCCCAGAAAGGACAGGAACCAGGGTTTGCCTCAGTTGCAGCCTCCCTGACCCTCTGTCTCTTTGTCTTCGAGCGAAAGCCGCGACGCCTGCCTTGTGCAGCTGTGTGAGGATGAAACGGGCTAACAATGTGCCTGGCACGGAGTGATACACCACAGTTGGTGGTTTTTAGCATCCACTCAAAGGCTGTGCAGTTGTGTTTTCGAAGTTGCGTCCTTCTGTGACGTCTCGGGTTTTTGACCTAGTCGCCACGCCCGTTAACCGTTTCTTCCTAGCTGAGCAGGTGAGGAGAAAACCGGTCTCCAAAGGAGACCTGCCGCCCGGGGAGGCGCGAGACCACCGTGTTTCCCGAAGGAGGCTCCTCCAGTCCGAACATACGCTTTTGTCGTCGCGCCGCTGCCGGCTGGAATTCCTTGGCTTTTGCGGAGTGGCGTGGGAAAGTGGCAAATGGTAACGCCTCCAACCAAGTTCTGTCTTTAAACGGCGTCTTTTCCCCAGGAGAGAGAGAGGAGGTCGCCAGCGTTTAACCTCCAAATCACCACCTTCCCCGAGAACCACAGCAGCGCTCTCCAGCTGTTCTGTCACCAGGAAGGAGTTAAGGTAGCGTGCCTGGGGTGGGCGGGCCTCTGCTCAGGGGCCGGCTCCCTTGTGAAGGGGATTGTGTCCTGGTGCCAGGGGTATGGTCGATCTCGACGCGCTTTCCCCGGTCCCTCCGCCCCACGTCGAAAGCCGTAATCGGTCCGATTCTTGAAGGGTCATTACACGTCACCCTGTTTTGACCCCTGTCTGGAAAAGAGCAGAGACTCGGGAGGTAGCCTTGAGCGCAAACCCCGGTTTCCCCACTGCCGTGCTGTGGCCTGTCACCTTTCTGAGCCCTAGCCTCTTCACCGTGAAGTCCAAGTGGCTGCGCCCGCCTCCCTGGGTGACGGGGGAATAAGATAACGAACGTGTTGAAGTCCCTGGTACCGTGCCTGGTGCCCAGTGAGTGCTCCGCAGGGGATGGCTGTGGTTGTTGTCACGCCCCGTGTCTGCCATGTGCCCGGGTCCCTGCTTGGCTTTGGGGGCAGCACACTTCCGATTCCCCGGGCCTTTCTGGAACACTCGGCACATCAGCGGCCATGACTCCTCTTCTCCCCCACTCCCCAGGGGAATAGCCAGGCACAAAACTCAGCCCTACGGTGTGTTCCACCAAGAGAGAGTGTGGTGTCTTCTCAAGAGTAAAGGTCGTGGCACTAGGAAGTGGCATGCGTGGTCTTTGCAGCTCACACAAAAGTGAACCTTGGAAATCTTTTCCAGGATGTGAATATTTCTGACCTTATGAAGAAATTAGATATCCTTGGCGATAACGGGGTAACTATGAACGTCCGGTTTCTGGTTTCGTGTTCTTGTTTTGATCCGGGTGTATTCTGTGTGCCTTTGTTTGGTTCTGTTTTTCTTTTTTTTCCTTTTTCTCTGACCTAAGAGAGCCAAGAAGTGCAATGCAAGGCTTCTGTATGGCCGCATTACCCTGGGGGTGGGGGGTCTGCCTTTGTCAGGGTGGGGTTGCGAAGTTGGCCCCCTCCCACGGTCCCTCCCGTGAGCGTTAAGGGAACTACGAACGCCCGAGAACCGCTACCCAGAAAGAAGGTGCAGTCACGCGAGGCTGCCAAGTCGGAAAGTGATGCTTGTGCCTTCCTGCAAGAAGGCCTTGAACATGGCCCTATGTCTCAAGAGGCTCAGGGCGGGTCTGTGAACTGTCTCCCCCCTCCCCAGCCAGAGGGACAGGCGCCGTCTGCCTGGACGCACCAGCCCCGCTTAGCGGAGGGAGCAGACCCTCGGGTGCAGCCCAGAGAGGAGCCCTTCGAGTTGCTGGGTACTAACGTGGATGGAGGAGCCGGTGTAAAACGCCCTTGCCCGTTTTTGTGTTTTAGAATTTGAGAAACGAAGAACAGGTTGCAATAATCCAGGCTGGAACCGTGCTTGCCCTGTGCGAAAAGGTAGAGCCCGGCGGCATTTCCATGTTCACGCCTCGTCCCAGCTTCCCAGCACCATACGAGAAACTGTACATTGGTGTCGCGCTTGCGTGGGGGCATGTGTTTTCGTGCGTCTGCGTCTGCATGTGCACATGCATGCCTTTTCGTTTCCGGAAGGAAGGTCCCGCAAGCTCCTTCTAGAAAACCCAGAGACACAGGAGGAGAGGGAAACCCCGCTGAGGAAGCCATCTGGCGCATCGAGCCTGTTTCCTTCCGGTTGCTTCCCCATGCCCCAATTTTTTTTTTTTTGGCTTGGTTGAACTCTCACTTGACATCTGGTTTTTTAAAACCCTGCCTTGGAAGCGTCCCCCAGGCCGTTTAAAAAGGCCCTGTCTCCCACCTGACAGTCACAGCGTTGGCCACCTACTCCCTTAGCAGGTAGATATCTGGGGCGTTTCACTTTTTGTCTTTTTACGGCTTGCGGTGGTGAGCATTGTTATGCAGACATTGCTATCAACATCTTACAATGCAGCCGTAGGATAGGCTCTAGAAGTGGAATCATTGGGCCGGATGGTAAGAACGTTTGTGAGGGCTTTGGCCTTGTCAAAACAGTGTCCAGAAAAGTGGTGCCAATCACCCTTCGGCCCGTAGCATTATACCTTGTTGATTTCATGCTCAGTGTGGCATGGGTACCACTGAAAGGTTTGCCAGTCTGACAGGTGAAGTTCTATAGTCGGTCATTGTTTTAATTTTTATTTATTTTGGCGCTAGTGACACTGAGTTTTTGGTGCATAGATCTATTCTCTCCTTCCTTGTGAATCATAATGACATTTATTTTGAGGACTTTCCATTGAGTTTGCTCCTCCATCCATCCTGCACCTACCTACCATCCCGTCCGTCCGTCCGTCCGTCCAGCCATCCATCCAACAAATACGTATTTGTTGTCATTGCTTTTCTTACAGACTTCTCTGTGTGCTTTACGTATTAAAGATAGTAATTTTTGACCTATTTGTTTAAAAACACATTCTGGATTTGTCTGCCTTTTCCATGGTTTGGGGATGTTTTAGAAATATACAGCCCTGTATGTAGTCCTATCTCAGGCTCGTTTTCTTTCAGAGCACCTGAGTTAAACGTTAAAGCGCTGTTTCCATAGTAATGAGGTCCAAGTGATCTTAGGATTCCTTCCCGAATTTTTGGACGGACATTTGGAATAGAAATAGCTCTCTTCCCTGGGTGCTCTCCCATTCGCCCTCAGCCCCTCCGTCAAGT